TTTTTTTTTTTTTTTTAAAGCAACGTCACCTTTAGCACAGAACCAAAACCCCACAACCGCCCCTCGTTTGGGGTTTGCTTTTGTTGTTTTTCCTGGTGTTGAACCCCAAATCCCCTCACTCCCCTGGGTTATTTTTTTTTGGGGGGAAGGAGGAGCCGGGCATGGGGTGGACACTGAATTTGCACCCGGGATGGGCAGTGGTGGCAATTTCTTCTTCTTGCTGTTGGCAGTGAACAAAGCCCAGCTCGCCCAGCACCAGGGTGCTCGGGAAATTTGGGATATAATTTGGGATTTTTGGGATGGAAAGCTTTTCCTCAGCAGGAAGGAGCTGCTCCTTCCTCCTCCTCCTCCTCCCACGCCACGGCGGGGCCGGGGCCGAAGCGAAGACACTTGGTTTGTGTTTGTGGTTTTATTTAAGGAACACTTAAATAATAATAAACATTTAAATCCTGGCAAAGGCTCGCTCTGGGCCCGGCGTGGCAGGAGGTGCTGCAGGCAGTGCTCGGACAAGGCACGGGAGATCCCGCTGGGAGCTCCTGGTGGGATGGGGCAGGAGGAGAGCCCAGCCAGAGCCAGCCTTTCCCAAAAAACCAACCAAACAAGCCTCACTCGGCCTTTGGAATCACGGGGTTTGGGATCCCACGGTTTGGAAAAGCAGGGTTTGGATCCCAGGGTTTGAAATCCCAGGGTTTGAAATCCCAGGGTTTGGATCCCAGGGTTTGAAATCCCAGGGTTTGGATCCCAAGGTTTGAAATCCCAGGGTTTGAAATCCCAGGGTTTGGATCCCAAGGTTTGAAATCCCAGGGTTTGGATCCCAGCCTTTGGATTCCAGGGTTTGAATTCCAAGGGTTTGAATTCCGAGGGTTTGAAATCCCAGGGTTTGAAATCTCAGGGTTTGGATCCCAGGATTTGAAATCCCAAGGTTTGGAATCCCAGGGTTTGAAATCCCAGGGTATGGATCCCAAGGTTTGAAATCCCAGGATTTGAAATCTCTGGGTTTGGATCCCACGATTTGAAATCCCAGGGTTTGAAATACCAAGGTTTGAAATCCTAGGGTTTGAAATCCCAAGGTTTGGAATCCCAGGGTTTGGATCCCATCCTTTGGAATCCCATCCCTGGGAATCCCATCCCTGGGAATCCCATCCCTGGGAATCCCATCCCTGGGAATCCCAGCCTTTGCAATTCCAGGGTTTTCCCATCCAGGGGTGGGAATGGCCTCGCTTCCAGCTCCTCCAGAGGGGACGGGGCAGAGCAGGGAGGTGGCAGAGCTTCCCCAGCCCTGCCTGCTGCTCCAGAGGGACAATCCAGAGGCAGCTCCAAGGAAAAGGGGAGGAGACGAGCTCCAAAAAGAAGCAGCCAAAGTGAGCTGAGGTTCCTCCAGCAGCTCCTGCCGCCATCCAAGCCAGGGCTCCGGGAAAATCTGGGATCACAGCTGGAGCAATCCCTCCCAGGATCCAGGAGCGTTCTCAGCATCCTCCACTCAGCCTCCCACGGCTTTTGGGCAGGGCTGGAGCCTCCTCCCGGATCCCTGTGGGGCTGGGGGGACCCCAAAAGCACAGAGCAAAAAGGGCAAAAATCCCCCTGCCCTGGAGGGCAGGAGCGGGGAGAGCTGCAAAAATCCTCACCCCAGAGTTCCCCAAGAGCAAGAGCAGCAGAGACCCTCTCCCAGAGGAGGAGAAGAGAATTCCTGGAGAATTCCTCAGGAAAAAGCTGCATCCCTCACATTGGGGGGACTCTCCTCACCTTTCCCTGGCAGTTTCACCTCCGCTTTTGCAGGAAAATCAGAATATCTCCCCTCCAGCAAGGTTGGAGCCAAGCCCCACCTTCGTTTCTCATCTCCCAGTTTGGAAACAGAGAGAGGAAAACGTGTGGGCACTCACAGAGGGAGAGCTGGAAAAAGCCCAGGTACCATTTTTGGAAGGTGGAAGACTGGTGGGCATCCCTGGATCTCTGAACCTTGGAGTAAACACCTTCCCCTGGCTGGGATTTTTTAGTTTATTCCTTAATTTTCACACTGGAGCAGTGACTGCCCCTCCCCACTTCCCACTGGGGGAACCAGGGGGGCGAATCCCACAAGCAAAGAGCAAACCCCAACGTTAGAAGGAACAAAAAAAACCCCAAAAAATCACGTGTGGAAAAAAAACAAAACCACACACACAAAAAAAAAAATAAATCAAGTCACAAGTGCACCCACAGCCTTCGGGCTGAGGGCGTGTAAGACTACAACAATTTGAATTTTCCTGGAACATGCATTTTTCCAAAGTGAAAGCCCCCTGACTCCAGGTGCCTGGAGCCCAACTCTTGGAGAGGAAAGAAGCTGGCAGCTTCCCCTGGGTGAGTCCCACGGAAAATCAGGGATGGAGATGCACAATTGGTGGTTATTTTTCGTTGGTTTTTTTTTGGCTTAGCCTCTCTCCCAACACCCAGCGTGGTGGTACTCTGCTTCCCACTGCAAAAAAACGGAAAAAAAAAAAAAACAAAACCAAAACCAACAAAATAAAAATAAAACCCCAAAAAACGGATAAACACCCCCCCCCCAAAACCCAGATGATGATACAGGCATGAGCAGTTTGACACGGAGTGGCCGCAGCGTGTGTGATCAGTTACTGCTGCTGGCATCACACAGGGTTGAGGTGGATGAGGATGAGGAGGAGGAATTCCAAGTTCTAGGGTCAAACAGAGGTCTCCAGGCTGTGGAAGGGGCTCCCGGGCTCGGGGAAGCTGAACTGGCTGTCCACGGCGTTGTTGTTCCTGTTGAGGGCCGTGGAGCCCCCCAGGCTGCCCCCACCTCGCTGTTGGAGTCCCTCAGGCTCGGGCTCGTCTTCGGCGCCGTCCAGGAATGGTGTCCGAGGCTCGTCTTCCTCCAGGATGAACTCGGGGTGAGTCATGAAGTTATGGATGGAGCTTCTGGATTCGGGTTTCTCGAGGCCTTCGTAGAGGGAGCTACGGAACGCATTCACCACTTTGATCTGGGCGGCGTGGGGAGGGAAAAAAAAAAGGGTCAGTGTGGTGCCAGGGGGCAGGGATGGAGGGAGAACGTGGAAAGAAACGATGGAAGACAACCGTCAAACAAACAAAAAAAAATAATAAAACAGCACAACCACGACAAAATCACCACTGAACAGACAGCTGGGTCAAAAATGAGACATCTACGGTGAACTGGGGGGGGTCAGGGTCAGGCACTACGGGGGCGGTGGGAACCCACCGGCTACGGGGCGGCCTCAGGAGCTGCAAGAAAAAGACACGGGGCGACTCAAAAGCGGCGCCCCAGCACCACGGGTCTGGACGGACGGAAGCCAAAAGGCGTTAATTAGTCGTTAAGTTCGTGTGTGGGTGCGCGCGCGCCTCGGGGTGCACGGACACAGGACAACGGAGGAGGTGTGGGGAAACTACGGCTCCAAAAAAGAGGTGGGTTAGGCAAAGAGCATCTACTGTGGTGTGGGACTGATTCGGTCAAAGAGAGAAACTGGGAGGTTCTAGCCAGGCAGGAGCCTGGGGAAGAGCTGGAGAGGAATGTAAATAATTCTTTATCTCTCTTCTTGTTCACATT